ATAAGATTGATGAAGTGAAGGAGGAGGAGGAAGGTGGAGAGAGAAGGGGGATTTGTCATTGGTCTTGCTGGTGTACACCTTCTTCTTCTTCTCCTTCTTTCTCTCTTCTTTGGTCTCTATTTCTCTGCAAGTGCTTTCATTTCTTTCGCAATTGGGTGGCATTGTCTTTCATTGTGAATTTGCACTTTGGGAATGACCAGGATCGTAACATTTCTAGTCTTTTGCATGCCTAGGGATTGAGCCTGGGTAGGCCTCATCAAAGACTTGATATCTTTTTGCACACGCATGAAGAAAAGTAATAAAAAAAAAACGTCAACTCCCCACGTACCCTAGCGTTTGTTGTAAATTTCCAAAACATGGTTTATCGTGCCCGCGACAAGTCCCTGCACAGCATAGATACTATGCATGGACTCTATGGAACGCATTAGTGGGACCATTTTTTTCCAGCTATATCCCAAAACAGACAGCATTCCACGACAACTGCTGGCAAGCCTTACCCCAGTGCAAGGAACATGAATGTGGACGAAGCAAAGAAATCCCAATTGCAAATCACACTGAAGTCCAAGTAGTCAAAGCAAGAGCAGATAACACATTGGAACCAAGCAACCATCCATTTGAGAACGRTACAGCRAAAGTCGTGAGTCAATGTCCAAGCCCAATCGGGCAACACCAACAACATAACCCGAAGTAGCCCTCTCTCTTGAATGGCGCCAGGCGCCCTATCTACTCTATAGCCTATCCTACAACTACAGTCATGGAAGCAACCAGGCGACTTGACGACCAGCTAGTGATGACGTCAACATCAATGCCGACCTCCTCGTCCACCAGGTACGTCACTCTCTCTTGTCCCTCACTCTCCCTTGTTATCCCACACAGCGCCCTTCACCTCCTGAAGAACCACCTTCGCCCTCACCTCCTCCAGCGCCCTCATGCAGCCTGGCTATGGCTGCCAGCGCCCTGCGCCCAGGCTGCACCCTACCGCTTAGCACCAGCCTGCCTTCTCTCAGCCTAGCGCAGCGCAGCACATTCGCAACGCAACAGTGTGCCGTCCTTGCTCGCAATGGCCATGAATACAAGATCCCTGCCCACTCGCCCGCTCTGCCTATATGCCAGTGTTGCGTGTGGGCGGTCTACCTTGAGCCTGCGCCTGGGCCCCAGTAGGCCCAATGCAGATGGGGCCCAGTAATACAGTTGCGCCCCTTATGCTAGGGCCGTTGTCCAGATTCAGGCCCCGTACCAGTTTCCCATTGGCTTCCCCGGCCTCTACGACGAAATACTGCTTTTCCATAGGCCAGGGACCAATCTGGGATGTGTCGGCCTCCCAGACTGTCGCCCAGGGCTCAACCAACCCCAGCCCTGGGCTCAACTGCCTTTGCAGAAATCGGAGGCTCACGATGCACTTCAACCAACTGGTTTGCGGCAACTGTCTGATACCCACTTTGGGAAATGCTGAATGAAGGCCTCTCGTGGATATTCTGGCCCGCCTTCACTTAGGGCGGGCACGAGGCTTGCTGGTGGCCTATACCCAGAACATATGTATGTCGGCAAAGCCCCGTTGAGGGCTCAATCCTCACACCAGATTCACAGGGTGTTAAAAAAAAGAGAACTGCTGGTGAGCCTTACCCCAATTTCGCAGGGTAAAAGAAAAACCAACTGCTGGTGAGTTTACCCCAGTTTCGCAGGGCAGAAGAAATAATGGGCCGCCAATGAAAACTTCGCAGTGCTGCATGGTTTAAGAGTGTAATTGAAGTGACGAGAGAATCTGTCGAACCACTGTTAATACTCCCGAGTATCAGAGGATATGAAATGTCTTTGTAAGTTTGTGCTAAGTTGCAGTGAAATTTCGGCAACAGTGATATGCTGACAACTCAACCTGTGTTACAAGTGCATAGAAATTGGTGGGTCAGTCCAACATTCGAGTGCTGCCCTGAGCGGCGTGGACATGGTAAAATATGGATGAGTTGTTTCAGATATTCCTCTTATCAGCAAACCTACAGACTAAGGACGAGAAAAGGAACTCGCATGTGGTATCTTTCCACTATTTTATGTCACTCTGGCCAAAACGTACACATCAAAATTCAAACTTCGAACTAGAGCTCAAGTATTCAAGATCACCGGAAGGAATCTAGGTAAACGTTCCAGACTTCAAGTGCAAAACCAGAGAAAAAGGGCCGAGAATTCAACCAAATGAAATGACTGGACGAATACAAGCAGTAGCTAATACGCAAAGGCATCAGAGAAGCATTTTCTACGGGGTCCCAAAACCACCAACCTCCCCAACCATATTTCACATCACTTTTCGTTTTTGAATTTTCTTTTTCAGCATTTTTTTGGTGAGCACACACGCAGACCGTGGGCCGTGCGTGTGTTGTGCATCAATGTGCCTTGTGTACGCAAATGCATGCACAGTGTGTGCTTACAAGCATTTTCTAAACAACATGCATTCCACACCACGAACTTCTTTTTTTAAGTTCTTTTAAATTTTTAATGTCATGGAACGCTTTGATCTGAAAGCAACTCCAATTTGTCAGAACAGCCTCAACTCTCACTGGGCTCTCACTGTATTCTTTGTCAATCTTATTAATGAAGATAGCAACACCAAAACCTCAACAGCGCTTCGGGAACATGCTATGTTTTCTCGTCCGTTGCGGGATTGTGATGATTTTCTAAAAAAATAATGAACATGATTTAACACACCAAGACGCGGAGGGCGGCACACCTAGTTGTCCTGCCAGATTATCGAGACTGGATTCGGACAGTCCTCAGAGCCTGCCAGACGTCCGCCTTAAGACGCAAAGCATGAATCGACAACTTCATGTGCTTCTGATCTTACTCCTTAATTAGCAGAACTCTCTTCTGGCATTGAGCTACTCAGTCAGAGTCCACCCTCTCATGATGTAAACCACATGGCCTGCTGCCCGTGCCGCTGCTGCATTTGCCACTGCCACTGGATCCCAAAAAAGAACAAAAAAAGACTTCAGGCCAGGACTGCGCTTGGCCTAAGCAGTGAGAATCCGGTCTTAACTTCGGTTTTGGTGATGGGTAATCCAGGGGGTTTTGGGGGGTATAAACAGTGACTAAAGGGGTTAAAAGGACACATTGACATTTGGACTCATGTTTTCTCATGTATTTTTTATCTTAAAATTAACAAGGAATTTCAAGGTGACCCTCAGCCAAAAGCCGTTTAGTATATCAATTTTACACAACCTATTTTTTTTCGGATTTTTTTTTTTTTTTTTAATTTTCTATTTTTTTTAAATTATGCATAGCTTTCCAACCCGGGCGCCGAGGGCACCCCATGACGCCCGGAATGGCGGCCAGGTCGTCCGGCCGTGCAACCCCCCCCACCCCAGAGCAGGCACCCGGGCCCTCTCGCGCCGAGGCTGATAAAGCCTGAAAAAAAAAAATCGCGCAGCCGCCAGATGCCCTACCACCGGAAAAAAAAAATAGGAGGCCGGCGCAATTTTTTTTGGGGTCCTGTAGGCCCAGTTTTGCAGTTTTTTTTTTCATCTCAAATCTGGCCGTCGATCTGTGCCGATCGACAGCGCACAGGATTTGAATTTGAATCCTGGCCGACTCCAGCACCCAAGTGACTCCACGCCAGTACCCCTCCGACCGCAGCCCTGTGCCAGTTCGTCGCAACGTCCCTCCGCGCGCTCGACGTCCCCATAGCCGCTCCATCGCCGAAGCCGCCTGCTCCCTCTGCGCGTGCCATTGTCAATGCCCCACGCGCCAACTATTGCTGCCCCCTCTTCACCAATGTTACCCCCGCGCTATCCCAGATAAGGTTCGAGAACATCAAGGTAAGTTCTGTTCTTCTTCTTCTTCTTCTTTTCTTCTTCTTCTTCTTTTCTTCTTCTTCTTCTTCTTCTTCTTCTTCTTCTTCTTCTTCTTCTTCTTTATCCCTTCTTCTTCGTCTTCTTCTCCTTTCTTCTTTCTTCTTTTTCTTCTCCTTCTTCTTCTTCTTCAGAGTTCATGTCTTATTAATCTTTGACGTGGCGTCCTCGCTCCCTCCCGCCAGATCACCTCGCTCTAGCGTGGCATACTCGCTCCCACTCCCCATGGTCCTCCCTCCTGCCAGATCACCTCCCGCCTCCCTCCTGCCATAGTCCTCCCTCTCGCCATATTCTCCCTCCTCCCTCCCGCCATAGTCCTCCATCCTCCCTCTCGCCAGATTGCTTCCTTCGCTTCTCTTCCTCCTCATCTGCCTTCCCTCCTCCCTCCTTCGATGTGCCACCCCTCCCTCCTCCCTCCCACCATAGTCTTCCCTCCTCCCTCCCGCCATAGTCCTCCCTCTTCCCTCCCTCCTCCCTCCCGCCATAGTCCTCCCTCTTCCCTCCCTCCTCCCTCCCGCCAGATTGCCTCCCTCCTCCTCCTGTCTCTTATACACATCTAGATGTGTATAAGAGACAGGGTATGTGGATACTGTCCCCACCTGGTTAGGTCATGTAGGGTCGACATTTGACCTGACCAGGTTGACTGAGTGAATGAATGGGGTGGCGAGACACAAAGGAGGCTAATTGGAGTAAGCGAGAGGGAGTAGAGAGTGAGANCACAAAATGATATGCATGAAAAAACAAAATGAGGGCGGATTTGGGTCGTACTCGGAAAGCGCAGCAAAAGCTGACAAGTCTAAAAAATAAAATAAAAAAATTCTGTGGATTTTTTGCATGCCCAGGGTACCCCGGGCAGGGTCCCTACCCGGGCAAGGCGCCCGGGAGGGTTCCCGGGCGACCTTCCCCCAACCGGGCAGCCCAGGGACTAACACAGTTTTTTTACTCACTTTTTTTTCGAATATAACGCCCCTCCTAATATAACGCCTGGGAGTTTTATTTGGATGTAGCATGGGCAGAGTGCCTTGTGGAGTGGGGAGAAGGGGGTATACTCTCAGAGGACTTTCAACCAAATTTGTAGGTACTTGTGGTTAGATACTCAGAAAGTTCTACTGTGAAAGATGAGAACGTGGTTGCGCTCATTTACTGCTGCTCCACATACTTCACCTTAATCGGAATGTTTGTGGCTTCAGGCTTCCCACCACCTTGCCTACATCAGATGCAGTAACAGACCCGTGCTCTTTTCCCCAGCTGAACTTCGCGCTTTGCAATGTGCTTGGTGAGACACCATAAGGAAACAATCGGAGTTCGCCATCTTGCCAGCTGCTGACAATGATTCGGCCGGTGGATTCTGCAGTTGGCGGTGAGGCTCGTCTTATATCAATTCTGGTAGCCACAGCATCGTTACCTTTTCTCACCCATTTCCGAAGAAGATGGGAAACAACTGCAGATATTGACTTACGTCCTTTGAGTGTCAGCTCAAGATAAGGGTTGTAACCCTCCTGCACAGAATTAGCAGAAGAGAGAGACAAACAGCAGAGGATGCCGGTATCTGAAACACCAGAAAGACAAAGGGCCAGGCCAAACAGCAGGCAAACAGCCAGACCAAGGAAAATAGCAGTCACAAGGAAGCACTTCAGGCATGCAAAGGCTGCAAAAACAATATGCATGACTCTCAGGGGAGCAAAGTCACACTAATTCTTGGCTTGACTTGCAATACAGGTTGATGGTGAGGATACACCCAGTGAAATGACACACCAACAACGTTCATCAATGAACATGCAGGAGTAGAATATTTGACAGAAATGACAAGACAAGACAAAGATGCGTTTAGGCACTGCGGTGAGGCGCACTCCTGTTTTATGGCTTCTAGGGAGTGCAAGGGTTCAGAGAACATTAGCTTAGCGCCCGTGGTGCTGCCAGCACGGGCAATGACCATACAAAAATAGGAAACAATAAGACAAAGTGCTCATCTGTGTCATTTCCCCCCATTAGGCTCAGCTAACTTCCCTTTGAAAACCAAACAAACTTGGCTAAACTAACTTCCCTACACTATTACAATCGCGAACGTGACAAATCTGAAATCTGGGCCGTCGTTGGTCCTACCGGCCCACGGTCCAGATCGACCGAACCATGTAACAAATCTGCCATCTGGGTGTCGGGTCCTACCAGACCGACGGCCTGGATAGATGCGGTCTTAAGATCTTAAGATCGCGCATCAAGGGCTGTTAGCCCGGTACCTTGGGCCCGACGGCCCGGATTATTTGCCTGTTGGAGAGGGCCGCAGTACCTACCGGTGGTTTCTTGGCATGGTACCTACCGGTGGGGTTTTGTGTTCGGGCAAATGGGTTCCTATAGGCTGCCCGCGATGTAACTACCTTTTCGTGGCGGCGCGTACTGTTTTTGGGTGGGGGCTTGCCTTTTTGGTGGCGGCATGGGCAAATTCTACGGCGTGGGAAAGACCCACCCCTGTGCTACTCTACTCTGTACTATCAACTTCAACTTTCCTATCCTATACTACTATGCTTGACTTCGACTTCACTACTCTACACCACACTACCACGCTCGACTTCGAATTGGCATGTGGACACACACACACACACGACATCCGGGCAGACTGTCGGGGTTCAACCTCCTGATGAGTCGGTGGAAGTCCGATGAAACAGCCTCGCTAAGTCATGCCCACGCATGCAGTCACGAGAGAGAGAGAGAGAGAGAGAGAGAGAGAGAGAGAGAGAGAGAGAGAGAG